TATATTTCCATACAAACTAAATTAATTTAAGAAAGATAAATAAAAACCGCGGATTAAATGGAGCAAGATTTAATCGAGACATACCTGTTGTAGAAGATAAATTTAATCTCCCCAAAAATGATATTCATGGAATAAGCTTCTCTTTTCTTTTTCTTGTTAAATGAATTGGAAATATATTACTAAGCAACTCCGATTATTTACTTTGGACATACAAAATAAATGATTAATTAATCATACAAATTTGTAATAAACTTGATTTATTCATACTTGCAAAAAAAAAAGTAATGAACACTTATGAATAAGTAAAGCTAGATATGACTAGTTCTAGACATGAACTCGTACGTATTTTCACGAGGGGATAATAACATTCAGTGACGGATTAAACATTTTGCCGCCCTTAGGCCAACCAACATCTAGCCGCCTCCAGATGGCTTCATTAATTTTCATAAATTTGATAAAAGAGAAAATGGATAAAAATAAAGGTTTATACCCTGATATTAGTTGGTGAAAACATTTAATAATCCTTAATAAATATCTATAAATATAATATTCTTTATCTATAAATATAATTTTTGACTGTATATTAAAAATTTATTTCAACTGTGTAAATATTTTCTGTTTAAAAAATTTCCTCCTCAAATTTGCTGTCCTAGACAAGTACCTTGTTTGCCTATGCGTTAATCCGTCACTGATAACATTAATGACTTATGCTATAAAGTTAAGTGTATTCGAACATAATGTGAGTTCGAATTTGTTGAACATTGCTCTCGTGTAATTAATAATTACATTTTTTAGCAAAGATAAAATTTCACATTTATTAGTGTTTTCTTTGTCAGTTATCTTTTCAAAATAAATTATCACAAAATACTTTATTCATATTTTTATATGAATTATTTAAACACTAAAAATCCATAGCTTTGATCGGTATAGGCATTTAATTTCTAGTTCGTATTGGTTGTGTTCTCACATGTACGGTCTAAAATAAGATTCTTATTGTTTTATATGAATATTGCAAATACATTTGCACGTGATTGTAGACGTAACCAAAGAAAATTCTTTAGATTTTGAAATCGCGCAGCTTTGTATATACACAATTTTGTACTTTTACCAAAAGGAAGAATTTAAATGTAGAACTGCTAAAACGATGGGATTTCGATAGGATATTACTGTGACTACTGCATATATTCGTATGTAAAGTACAAATACATATTTCCATTGGAAAATATTTGCATTTTACATATAATGCGCATAAATTGCGATAAATATTATATATTACTTTTGTTGCTTAATTTAATGTGATACGTTCACAAAATATAATTATCTCGTTTTATATTCTACTTAGAATATATTGGACCTCCTATATATATATAAGAATTATCCTATAATAACATTTAAGTTTTACAATAGATTATTTTTTGTATAAATGGCAATAATAATAAAATTTTAACTTATTTCACTACTTATCAAAAGAAAATACATATACGCGTTTAATTAAGAATTTTTAGTATTTTACAATTAACTACTTTTTTTGTATCTGATTTTTGACTTTTTTGTATTAGATATTATTCATAAAAATGAAATCATCCTTTATAAAATCAAATCTCTTGAAATATTCTCATTGAATAATATAAATTAATATCACTTGTTTGCGTTCATCAATTTGTTTTGTGTCGGTGCCAATGGCGCTCTTCTCTTAACATGTTTCTCCGGGGCCTTGTCTTTCGGCAGTGGCACTCCATTGGAAACGGTCCCTCCTTTCCTTTTCCTTAAAGATTCAGTCGGGAGATACTCGGTCGGTCTTAGCAATTGCCGAAAATTGTAAGGTCCGTTAATGTCCTCCGTATCGTATTCAGCCTTGGCACTTTCTTGCCGCTTCTCAATCACCGTCGGCCTTAGAAGTTGCCTAAGATTAGTTGTAATATTGGAAGTATCATTTTGAAACTGTTCTTGATCTGTCGCTTTTCCGTTCGCTAATCGATTCAGATCATTCTTATGATCTATATTATTCTGATGGTTTTTCATCGGACAGCCATTTTGCCTATGATTCGATCGATCTGTCTTTTCGGATCTATTGTTTATCAAACCGTTATTTAACTCAGATTGTTCAGTATTCCAAATTTTTATCTGGCTCATTGCAATGCCGTTATTTATTTTACAGGAAGTCTGATGATTGTTGATCGATGTACCATTAATCGATGTGTGATATTCATTAACGGAATTGTGATGGTCATTAACAAGATTCTGTCCATTACAGATATTCTGACGTTCGTTTACGGCACTATATCGGCCATCGATAGTGAATCGTAGGCCAGGTGGATCGTGGATATTCGGAGAACCGGTTGTATATTGTCCACTCGTGTGTGAGTGCAGGTTCGCGTTACGCAGGTTATTAACCCTTGTACTGGAAAAATGGATTCTGTTTTGAATTCGGACTTTAAGAAAAAAAAGCTTAAAGGAAGACATATTTCAAAACGAATTATATATTTTTTATTTTATGAATTGACACTAAATTACTTGCAAATTCTAAAATCACTAATTGTACGAGATATACCTATGTACGTATGTTATACTAATCAAAAGTAGTGAATAAATTAATATTTTTACCTGAAAATTTACCATAATGCCTCTGGCAATATATAAGGATATAAATGCGAGATTAGATATTTTTATTAGATATTTATGTGGGAATTCTTGTATTTAATTAGATTTATTTTTATCAGAGAGTCTAAAGGACTATGCCCAATTTTATAGGGGAATTTGGGCTCCGGATGAACAACTTTGGGACATGCCTAAAATTTTAAGGTATCAAAAGAGAATTAAAAATTCTATAAGTCCAACTTTATAGGAGTGGTTTTCCAAGTGCTAGAACTATCCGAAGTTCGCTATTATGATCATGTACTACCAGTCTTATCTAATTTCTTTGCGTCCGGGCACCTGCTCGCGGTGACAGCGGTAACGGATTGTACCAAAGACATTGAAGTAATATCTAAAATGTATTTGGTACAGTTCATTAATCCGGCTAAGTCCCTGGTCGCGATTCATGCCGTCATGTCACAGAAATTCGGATTTGCTTGTAACGACGGCGATGCCCCTGCAGACCTATTCTGTAACTTTTAACGCATATTTCGTTATCATTATAACGCCGCTACGCAGCTTTTTTACCATGATGAAAGAGCTGCACAGCAGCGTTATAACGAAATTGATAACGAAATTTGCGTTGAGAATTACAGAATAGGCCTGCTGGAGTTTGCCTTGGGGGGAGAGGGGGGGGGAGGGGGAGGATGGACAGGCGGCGAATGTATCAATCGGGATAAACCAGCCTTTGATACGGGATCACCCCGAAGCAGCTACTGGTCGCGATGAGA